GACCTCCTTGCCTCCTGACCCTCACCCCTGCCCAAACAAATTATCCTGGCTATGCAAACCTGTCAAGCAGTTCATCTTGGGGTTTGAACAAAGAAAGAATCACTTTATCTTAATTAGGGAATTAATTCCACCCAGCCTAGATTGATCTTTGTTCAGACCCTTCTGAGAGCCCAACAGGAACAGGTAGAAGTGCTAGACTTTGCTTCCCTCCTGTCCCTACAGTCTGCTCCTGCCCACATGACTGACATGGAAAGCAACCACCAGGCGGGGTGGGGGGTGGAGGGGTGGAGTGACAGCCATGGTGGATGTGGTCCTCAGGCAGCCTTCTGCAGCCACAGTTCTCCCATGGCCCTGCTCTGTGGGAGGAGCCATCCAACTGGTCTTGCAGGCACATCCTTGCCAAAGCCTGGCACTCAGCCTCCTCCTCCTGCCCCCTGAACTCCCCATAATCCCTTCTGCTTCTCTGGGCTCTTTGTCCATCTCTCCCCCTTGGCTCTGTGCCCAGGGGACATCCCATAAACTAAGGGAGAGGGGATCACCCAGATCTTCTCACACTTGATGCCCAGTTCTCTGCCAGGGATAAGTCAAGGGAAACCTTGGAAATGAGTCATCTATGTGCCACTTTCCTTTGAGCCCATGCCTGCTTCCCCTGGGCCCAGACCGGTGCTTCCCTGACCCAGTTTCATAGGCATAGGGCAGCCCCAACTGAGGAGCAATGGGGGAGGGGGGCACTGAGAGAGGCTGGAGGGGAGAAGATCCTGTTCCTTTGGGGATACCAATAGGGCCTGACTTAGTCTCCACTAAGTGGTAAGGAAGCTAAGAGCTTGTGCTTGCAGAAAAAGGGAGGGTCCAGGCAGGGAGAATGCCCCAAATGCCCACAGCACTCAGAGGTAAAGCTGGAGGCAGAACCCACCCAGCTCCCGACTTCTACCTTGTCTCAGACACTGCCCATCGCACGCTGACTTACAAGTGCTTAGCATTAGAGCTTGCAGGGCCTGGGATACGACAGTGAAACAGTCAACAGGAACGCTCTGGGAGGCATCTATCCATTTTCTAGAAGAGCCACCTGAACCCACAGTGGCAAGGGGACCTGCAGACAGTCACACGGGCAGAACATCACCTACACCAGCTTCTGGGTCTGAGGGATCCTACTGTAGGCTGAAGAGGTGGAGGTGGCCCGAACCCTTGGTTGAGCTGGAATAGAGTAATACCCTGCAGAGTCTATAGAACGTGGGGGCAGATCAGTGTGAAATGACTAGGACATTTTTATGAATGCGTGGAAAGTACAGTGCAATTTCTCATTAATTTATTTATTTTACCCAGGGTCTCACTATGTAGCCCTAGCTGCCCACAGTCTGGGATTCAAAGTTGGGGGATTAAAGGTGTACATTCTCACAGCTAGCTCTAACTTGGATTTCTAAGACCACAAAGCTGACACTTGTTTGTTTGCTTGTTTGTTTGTTTGTTTGCTTGTTTTTCTGTAACCCTGGCTGACCTGGAACTCACTCTGTAGACCAGGCTGTCCTTCATTCAACTCAAAGAGATCCACCCAGCTCTGCCTCCCTGGTGCTAGGCACCACTGCCCAGCCTGACAACCCTTTTTTTTTTTTTTTTTTTTTTTTTTTTAAGAGAGGACCTCACTTGTATCCCTGATGTTCTGTAACTTATTATGTAGACCAGGCAGTCCTGGAACATAGGTCTGCCTGCCCCGACAGCATTTTGAGTTCTGGGATTCAAGACGAGGCTCCATGTAGCCCAGGCTTACCTTGAACTCCTAATCCCCCTGTCTCTACTTCGAAAGTGCAGGTGTGTGCCACTATGCCTGATTTGATCCAGGGCTTTTGTGCATTCGAGGCAAGCACTCTTATCAACGAGGACATCTCAGGCCAAGAAATGGTCACTTTAAAGACCGGGCCACAAATGCTTACCTTTTACTATCCAAAGGAGCACCAAGGTAGGGCTCGGGGGGGGGGGGGGGGGGGGGGGGG